GGTTTTTTTGCTTTAAGTGTTGTCTCTATACCTGTCTCAAGAACTTCCCTGCAGAAGTCTATGGTGCTCAGTATTTGTGCAGATGCTGGCGTAGAAAAATACTTCTTTGTTCCTTTGGGAAATAAATGTATAGCCCTGATCAGAAATACACCAGACTCTAAGCAGTTTGTATGAAGGCTAAGAGTTCTTAGCAGTTCTCGTTAATCGGCATGGAGGTGCTTTGTGCCTCAAACTTGGCTTTGACGGTCTATAGTTAGTATAGCAGCAAGTTAATCCTGATGGAGCAGGTCACTGAGCCACAAGCAGCCCATTAATTCTAACTTTGAAGGACTTGCTTAGTCTCTTGCAACCCTGTTACCAAGTTAGTATTAAGATATGTCAAATGTGTTCTTCAAATGGATGGAATCAAAATCCTTTCTGTAACTTCTGTTTTCTCATTCTTCTGTAGTTTGTAATGCAGAAGCCCAAACTGACATATGGAGGTGTTATTCTTGCAGTACTGAAGCTCTGACTATAGTCTGGATTACTAGGAGATGTAAGAATAGTAATTGGTTCTCTGAAAAGCTGCATGATTCTTGTTTTTTCCCAGTCTGTCTTTGTTAAACAAGATGGTAATTAATGATAATAGTGCACTGCAGACTAAATTTACCTTGCCTAATGAAGGCAGTAAGCAGCATAGTGAAGTCTGAAGCCTGGCAAACTGCCAAATATGAAGTAATTGTTCATAAGCACTTTGGATAATGTTGTGGCTGAAGATCTGTTTGCTCAGGTTCTCATCTTGGAGACTAAGAGCAATTGTGTACAAGGGCTGTAAAGCTACAAACAGTGTATATCTGTTGTGCAGAATAGCTAGCCAAAACTTACTGACTTGCAATCAACTCTTTTAATAACTTTTTATGAATATTTAATCTTATTTCCTAAACTGGAAAAAGCCTGAGTAAGTGAAAGTGAGAAGGATGTGGTCTGAACTGATGTGGAACGTAATCTTCTTGTGCACTGGCTTGAATATTGTCCTGCCCATCAGTTTATATATGTGGCATGACCTTTATTAAGGATATCCAAGTTGAATGGCTTGGCTACATACAGCCTATGTTTTTGGACTACAGCTTGAAATTGGGAGCTGTGTGATAGCTTGGAAGTGAGGCAGAGCAATTGCCTTTGCAAGCACAATGTTCTGAAGCACAGTGCTCCTTCAACTGTCATCAATCTTATATTCCTTTTGAACAATTTTTAAGGTTACGTAAATGTTTATAGTGATGGTAAAAATCAAATATGCATTTAGAAATTCTAAAGTGAGTGTAGCATGGCTGAGTAATGTGGTTAACAGTTCATTGAACAGATTTTCTTCAATAGTCCCTGCTTCCCCCGCCACCCTTAGTGGGACAGAAGATTCAGCTGGAAGTTGGTCCTTGGTTTTTGATACTTACTTCTTTTTTCCTGTACATGAAACAAACTGAAGCTACTTGCCACGGGTTTTGCTTTGCCATCCTCTAATGTAAGAATAAATTAATTTGAATAAGGTTACCATGCAGTATAACTTCTGGAGTTCAGGAAACTTAGTTTTAGGTGCTTCAGCCTTGTTTTAACTCATGAGTTGCCCTAAGCATTCTTAGGTGACTGTCCTTGGTGACACTTCACACCCAGTGTGCTAGTGCTGCTCTCTAAAACTGAAATTTCAGGCACATATAGACTGTAATCACTAATAAGGAGACAAGGTGTAATCATTTGACTTGATTTCCAGTGTATGGACTTAAAATTGTATCCAGCTGCTTGCTATGCTATTTAAGTTTGGTCAGGGTCTAGGTGTATATTGCATTCCAAATATGGAAGGAATTATGCAGAACAAGCTTTTATTCACATGCTGTGCAAGTTTTTAACTTTGAGAGAATAAACCTACTGATGCAAATTTCCTGTTTAATATGGATGTTCCTGTCAACTCATTGCTACATCTGTGTGCCTGGGGGAGGGGGAGTTTTTTTGAGTTTTGGAGTTTTGTGTTGCTGAGTCTGCAGTCCATTTCTACCAAAGGTGCTGACTTCACAAATTCCTGAAGTGTTTTAGTCAGGCTACCCTTAATGCTCTGTTGCTTCCTTAGGACACAAAGAAGCCAGTTTCTAGCAATAACTGGTCATCTGTGAGCATAAGTTCTTTACTGTGAGAGTGGTGAGGGACTGGAACAGGTCATCCAAAGAAGCAATAAATGCTCCATCCCTGTCAGTGTTCAAGACCAGGTTGAATGGAGTCTAAGGAGAAAAAAAGAATTGTCTTGATTTTATTTATTTTTTTTTAAATATCTTTGGTTAAGAAAAACTGTCTTACATGTTCGTGTTTCTCTTTCCTGTCCCCATTTTTAATATCTGTGATTATTGCCATGCTTGTTGAGGTTAGAGAAACAATGGCTAATAAAGTAAATCCTGCAGTGTGTTTTCCTTACAAACAGGACCCAAAGATACAGAGCAAGAACCTAGCTTCCAAATTTAGGTAACTAAATATCTTACTCAGGTTAGCAGTTTACCTGACTGAGGTTAGTTCTCTGCCCTGTTTATCTCAATGAAGTACAAAATCTCCAGACTCAGTGGTAATGTTTTAATGAGATGTGCTCTTCACTTGATAAAAGGGGAAAGAAACTGATTTTATAATTTTTTTTTTTTTTTTTCTAAAGCAGGTGAATTGTTGCAGATAAGGGAAACGTTTTAAGCCTTTAAAAAGAGAGCTAATGTGAGAGCTTACAAAACTGGAGTGTTGTCTGTTAATGTAAATGCTTTCACCCTTCAGGCATATGTTACTGTGGCCCTCTGTTTCATAGAGTATGGACTGAGGAGCAAAAGACTTGCTTAAGTCCAGTAGTGAATATCTTAATGCTGGGAAGTATCTTAGACATGATCAGTTGAGTATGTCTGGCCTGTCCACCGGATAAATAATCTAATGCAATTAAGACAAATCTAAAATCTGTAGTAGATGACGCTTCAAGCCTTGGATTGTACAAGCTTCTGCTTATTTATACTGTAGTGTTACTGCTTTAAAACCAGCTTACTTTACACTGGCAAGTTAAATTAGAAGAAACCCAATAACATCTTCATGATACATTAGTAAAAACTGGTTAAACTTTTGTGTTCCCAACAGATGCATTTTATAAGCTGAGTGAGGTGTATATACTATGATCTCTGGCCTTGTCATTGTAGACGTAAATTGGAGTTTGTAGGTCAGATAAAAACTCTGGGCACATCTCCTGCTTTATCTGAAAACCAAGATGTGTGCAGATAGCAACTACAATTTATGTTTCAGAATAGGTTTATGAATTACCGTGGTCTGAAAATGCTTAATTTAAAAGCAGTAAGTGGATGAGTTGGTACATGTAAGTAGTTTTTCAGGGTTGGGTATGGGTTGAGCAGTGCCCCTTATGAAACAGTGTTGTAGAATGGGAAAAATTCCATTTTAAGCAAATCTGTAGGTATTTTGTTAAAATGACAAAGCAAACAAATGTAGTTGCTTCTCATTTGGGCCAAACTTGTTTCTGTTTGCACAGTGTGCTCATCTTGCTGCATGTCTGTACTCTTGAGGCCATTGTTACAGCCATATTAATATAAACAATTTTTCTGCATTTTAAGTAAGAATTTGTTTTGGAAGTATAGAACTTCAGTTTCTTTTTGCATCTAAATCACAAAATTACAAAATCTGGTTTAATTTGGCTTAAGCATGGGTTCCCTTATACTTTGGGTACTTTGTTATTAATCTGCCCTGAGGCACTTGTTTCCTTGAGTGACTTCATCTTTCATCTGTCCTGCTGTCAGTTATCTTTTGGAATATGGTGAAGGGGTGATCAGCAGTCACTGGATGATACAGGAGTTTGGACATGCAAATGTAGTAGGAGGATGTTTAAATGCTGAGAGTTGTTGCTTTGCTCATGTGCAAAGGGTGAGATTGGAAGTGCTTTGGAATGCTGGTCCTGATCTGACTTTGGCTTTTCTCATAGCCAAATATATGCCATTAAGAGTAAAGGAAGCTGTCTTTTTCTGCTGGTAGTTGATGTTTTGGAAACTGCTTGAAAGTTTGAGAAGGTACAGGACTGAATTTGCAACATGACTAGGTGGCCAGTTCTGCACTGCTGAAGTGGACTTTATTTGCTTCAAGCAATTGAGTACAATGCCTGAATTGGTTGTTTTACCCCACCATGCTCATTTATGTACGAAATAATGGACCCAGATCTCTAGAGTGTCTATCACCATAAACTAAAGTGGTGAAGAATAATAAGATGCTTTGGTTTTGAACAATGCAAATATTACTTGAATAAGCTTGCACTATCAAAATTTTAATTGCAGCTTATTTCTCCAAATACCTAATTTGAATTGGCATGAGAAATCTTAATACCTGTTCTTGGAATCAAAAGTTGATATGAAATATAGACTGTGCTGGGAAGTGTAAGGTGGTAATGTTGTCTAATAAAATGTGAATTTAAAATATTTGGGGGTTTTTTTGAATGACTTTCATGGGGCATATTGAAAGTCTGAACTTTTGCATGTATCCTGTCTGAGGTTTTTCCAAGTCTTTGAGCTACTTTAAGTTTACTGTTTTTCATCTTCTGTGTCTGATAAGGATTCTTTTAGAGCCATTGAACTGAATAAGCATTCAGTAGAGAAACAGTACATTGGCTTGTCATTAAGGTGAGGAATAGAACAAGCTGTTGTAGAAAAATGGAAGTTTTTGTGAAAGCTAGTAATAAAGGGATCTTGGTTTAATTGTATGCAGCTTGTACTGTCTAAAGTGTGCAAAGCTTCTCGAAACAGGGAGGTCCTTCTAGCTTCTCAAATTTCTCTGTGAAGTGGTGCTGAAGTTACCTCTGTGATGTTTGCCTCCATCCAGTCCTAATACTGTAATGGGGGAGTAGTAATTCGTCCTGATGTTTGCATGTTTTAACACAGCGTGGTTGGGCATAAAGAAGCTTAAGGTGTCCAGGGGTTGTCCAGAGCACTGTATTTTGACATGTGTTGTTTTGATTTCAGGTAAAAGTAAAGAAGCAGAGATAAAGAGAATAAATAAAGAACTAGCAAACATTCGGTCAAAATTTAAAGGTAAGTGACTTGATGGTACTAACCTATACATGTTTCTTTGCATGACATTCTTCTGTGTTTTTTTTCTTTTGTTCTTAAATGTTTAGCTGATTTTTCTTTTTTTTTTTTTTTGTCAATTGCTGATGCAGGCAAAATGCTAGAGCAGGCTGTTAGAATAACTATTGAAAATATTCTCTTAACTACAGAACTTCCTGATAGTCCTGTGATTCTTGGCCATAACAGGCAACTCCCTCATATATAAAAGAATTGAGCTACTGTTCATAAACTTTCTAATGCTTTGCTTCCTAACCATGTGACCATTCAGCCTGTTTTCTTCCAGAAGGCCATGAACTAGTTTGAAGAAACATGGGTGGATGTCATTATTTCCAGTAAATGAGAATCTTTTTTAAACTTCTCCCCCACCTGTGTGCCTTTAGGGAAGTAATGGGTTAGGCTGTCTTCTATCAGAATTAAGATAAAAACATGTGGTTGCTGAAGCCATACATCTTGACTGCTCCCATAAGTAACAGTAATACAAATTACTCAAATGAAACAAGGGATGTGCAGTGTCTAATTCCATCCTCATGCATTCTGAGAGACAGCAATTCACTTTTAAACAACACTTGAGAAAACTCATGCTGTAACTGTATTCAAATTGTGTATGTGGCCTCAAATTTTAAAGATTCTGAGGGGCAATTGAAATGCTTTTGAATGGAGTTCTACCAATAGTGGCTGTGGCAAACATGGTGTTTAAATAGATATGGGGCTGTGTGTGTAGCTAGATAAGTGTGGAGGCTGTATATGTGACTTCCAGATTGCTGTATTTGGATTAAACCTGTTTACCTTAGTTATCTGTCCTATCTATTTGGAATACTCAATGTGCTACAAAGCAAGCGGTATATCTCTTAAAGGCATATGAAGACCTGCAAGAACTTGAGTGTCAGCAGCAGCTTGAAAGAGAAAACATGACCATGGTGCAAGACGCTCACAAGTATAAAAATTTCTTACAAATTGGAAGCTATCACATGCCTCTGCTAATGTTTTTCTCTTAGAAATTTCAGTGTACTTTATCCGGACTGGTAACTTAAGTTGCAGGGCAACTGAGGAAACTTTAGTGACTATTTTTCTACAGTAAATAGGAAAAGGAACTTTCATTTAGTCACCTCCCTATGCTGTCACATTGTTTTCCAGTTCCTTTTAATTCTAAAGCTTCTGTCTAATACTGATGGTGATCTGATTTTTGCCAAAAGTAGCAGGCTTTGCATAGTCGTTCTACAGACTCTTCGCAGTCACCTAATTGAAGTCTAAAACTCTAGTCCCTTTTCTAGACAGTGACTTGCAGATACTGCCTTCATTTACTAAGTATGAGCAGCTAGCACATAGTTCAAGGCACTAGAAACCTGTGTCCAAGAGTGATAACCATTTTTCTGTATGTTCAAAGTGGATCATTACATCACCTAGTAAATTTAAGCATAAAATTACACCTCTTTAAATAAAGCGGTTTAATCTCCAAGCAAGAGCTATACCAGGCAACTGAACCATATCCTTCAGATAAAGAGGCTGAGTTTATTTGAAAACTGTTTAAGAAGATTTTGTACACTTAAAGTTATTCAAAGTTTTATGTTACTCTGCCTTTTAACTAATTTCATTAAGTTGATTTAATCTGAATGATACAGCCACAAAGACTGCTTGTTTTCTCTTGGTGATAGTAAAACTGCTTGCTGTCAGATAGCAACATTATTGGTTATCAGATGCTGCTGAAATTTGTCTCTGCACCTAAATTCTCAGTTATTTAGTCAAGACTGCATTTTCCAGAAAGCCGCATATCGCTTTCCCTTTAAATATATTAAGTATTCCACCTATGCCATTTTGTCATCAAAAACTAGAACTAGCTGGAAACCTTGCTACAGTCATACTAACACAGAAATGTAGTTCTTTCAGCAGCTAACTTCAGGCTACACCATTGTTTTATGTTGTTAGTGTGGTTTTTTGTTGTTTTTTGGGGGGGTGGGTGTTTGGTTTGGGGTTTGTTTTTTTTGTTTTTTTTTTTTTAATCTTGATTTAGTTGATGGGCAAGCTTTAATTTGTTTGCAAAACGTAATCAGTTTTTCACTAATGAAACTGGAAGCTTTCATCAGGCTAAGTCTTCAGATTGCAGTGAAGGTCTGAAAACTTCTAAAGGCATATCAAATGAAAGTTATTGAGGCTTCTGCAGAGCCTCTCTACCTACTGCATATTCCAGTATGCTTGAAGCATGAAGGAGGTTCTGTCAGACCCGCTCACCTCACTGCTAAACATGTTGTAAAGGAACACAATAAGGAATGGCAGAAAAGTTCATAATGGTTAATGCTGTTTCAGTACTGACTTGTAGGGATACAGTCCAGTTCTTACTGTTTGGCTGTGATCAAATCTGATTAAGTAATCCTCTTTAGATACTAGCCCAACTCCTTATGTTTGCATCATATAAGAGAAGCTATAATCTGCAAGCTCAAACAGGGAAGCTTGATTCAAACTTCTCTTCCATATGAAACCTAAGCATTCTACTAAAAATCATAGCCTACATGTTTTGAGTAACACAAACTCCATTTGGTTCCATCCACATGCACTGACCTGCATACTTCTGAAAACCTGTGAGTGTGAAAGAAGTGAATCTGAATTGTTTTGGTACCACAGCAATCAATTCAGACTTTAATGCTAATAATAGTAATGACTTCTGAGTGCACTTCCTGGTGAAGTGCAGCAAATCCTATGTGGGGAGATCACAGAATGAATACTGACACAATTCATTGTTTTGTCAACATCTGCTATCATGAGTCTTGTGCTGTGAAGTCTATGAAGGTGAGTTCAGAAGGCTGTGAATATCAACTCTAGTGAAAGGCTGACTGATGCAATAAGAGCTAGTCTTCACTGTTGTTTTCTGTGAATGTCTATAAAAGCATCAGTATAAGCCGCTGTATTAATAAACTTCTAGAAAACTTGGCAGTAATTAAGCTGTAAGCAAACTGAATTCTGTCAGAAAAGCGTCCTCTGGTTAACAGAGGTAGTTTGTGTTTAATTTAACCTGTGTTTAATCTTGTGTGGTACAAGAGCTGCTGATAGTACAGTTCATAAACTTACTCAGTTCTGTTCTTTGGGTTTGTAAGGTATTTTGTGGCTCTAGTACAAAGACGGTTAAAAGTATGTACACAGTAAACCCTATGTACATCACAGTTAGTTGTGATGTGGGGGACAGCTGACTATTAAAGTTGGCTGAGTAGAATCATGAATTGGCAATGATCAGAGAGTAGAGGTGCTTTCAGCAAAGTAGTGCAGTAACTTGACTCTGCATACCTTGTGTAGCGTCCTTTAAGCGGAGTTTAAATAGCATTGAATAAATACTGGTGTCTGCTCATACAGTGGCTTGATTGAAAGATGACTAAAGTTTCCTGTAAGCTGATTTTCACTATGGCTACATCATTACTGAATTTGTATGGTTTTTAAGTGAAAAATGTTGCTTAACTGAAGACATTAACTTGGTGTAGCCTAAATGAAAACTGGACATAAGTGTTACAATTTAGAAGAAGCTGAGTTTGGAAAACTTGTTATGTATCTGGTTGAGGCCTTGAGAGTGCAAGGAGAAGATAGCTGTGTATCTTTCTGCTGGAGTTCTGCATGGGCTTTGTGCTGTGTGGTTCTCTGTTGCAGGAGTGCCTTGTAAAAACAAACACACCTTCATAATGCATTTTATTCTTGGTTTAAGTGGGCATCATTTGGTTGAATCCAGTTTCTTTTCATGTAGCTCTGACTTCTAAAAATATTTTGGATTAAAATAGCTTTAAAATAGTTTGGATTAAGACAAATGTATGCCTGTGAACTTAAGATGGAGTCCCTTGCCAAATAATTAGGGGGAGAACTGTTGCCGTGAGTTAATCACCTGACCGGAGATGTGGCTGTTGGACTGGCTGCATTGCTATAACCAAAGGAAAGTCTGACTGTAAGAAGCAATGCTGGCAGTACTGCTTCTTGACACAGATGTGTTCCTGTTTAAGACTAGCATAAGAGACTGGTATACCACAGGTATCCTTTACAGTCTTCATCATACTCCTGTTGCAGTATCCAGACCCTGACCCTGTGTGGCTTACAGGATGTATTCTTGCACTGTTACAGAGAGAGGCTAAGTATATTTCTACTTTTGTTCTATCATGCAAGTAGCTGGCAAGCCTGTTACCCAACTTATGTGTGGGTAACCTGCTATCTAAATACCCTTGTACTTAACAGGCTTTGATGAGGCTGCACATCCCTGGAAAAGTCATACTTCTCCTGAACTAATGGAATGTACACCATGGCTTTGGGTTCTGATCTGTCTTCTGTGCTCCAAGCTCAGAAGGAATCTAGAATCTCTGTACTTAAGGTGACTTTGTCTCTTGTTTCAGCATGAGGAAGCACTGTTGCTGAGGTCAGTGTGTCCTTGACGGTTGCTTTAAATGCTTCTGCATTAACTGAGATAAGATGCATGTAGTAGAGAGAAACTACACCAGTGTGATAAAGCAGAAGCTGTAGGAATCGTTTGGAGAAATACTGTTGCTTTTGTTTTACATGTTCATGCTGTAAGCTGATTTTGCTCCCATGCTTGAGCTAAACTGAAAATCTGGCTGCCAGAGTAGTAATTGCTTTGTGAATGAGTGGAAAAAGTACCTGGTTTGTTTAGTTGTCCCATCATTTTGATTTCTCAGTCCACAAATTCAGCTCTAAAGAAACTGACCACAAATCTACAAGCTGTTTTTGCAGTCAAAAGAACTGTTCTCTGCTTGATTGAAGCTTGTTCGTTTTTTTCCATCTGGCATTAGATTTTAGTTTTGTTCTGATTGCTTAATAAGGTTTCTGTTGCAAGAGTGGCTGCTAGATTTCAGACGTGCTGGTGTATCTTAGCTTTGGCTTGTTGTGCAGAAGTGCTCCAATATCAGTTGATAATTTCTGCTCCCTCCCCCCCCCCCTTTTTTTTTTGTTTGTGGGATTTGGGTTTTGTGGGGGGGTGGGGTGTTCTTGTTTATTGTTGGTGTGGGTTTGTTTTTGTTTTTTTTTGTTCTTTTGGGGGGGGGTAGGGGGTTGTTTTGCTTTTTGGTTTGGCTTTTTTGGTTTTGTACTTCAGCTCACTTGTTCTCTGAAATTCAAGCAAGTCTTCTCTGTTGTCCCAAACTGCATAGTATCCCTTTGCAGGAAGTTCAAGGTGAGCCTCTGAATTTTTAAGCAGAAGCTGTGCTTCAGTACATAGGTTTCCTGGCAGGCAGTGAAAGTGTAGCTTTGGATCTGTTTAATCACACTGTCCTCTGATCCTTTAAGAGACTTGACAGCAATTGGAGAGTAAAATAATAAAGTGTCTTCACTAACAAAGTGAATTGTTGGAGGTAAAAACCAGGCTTCAGGTATCACCTGAGTTGTGGGTCTGCTTTAGTAATACTCTGTTCTGGTGGTAGTAGTATGGTAACGAAACACTAGCTTATGTATTTGTATTGGTTGTCTGCCACAGATATTCAGCCCTTTATTTAGAGAGCTTGGACTGTCACTCTTATGGAAAGACAAGTCTTGTCTTGAAGTGTAGATACATTAATAAAAAGCAACTTTGTTTTTCTAATCCTCTAAGCTAATAGTAGACCTTCTGATTACACTATAGCACTGGATTGCTGTCAACTGCATGAATGTAAGACAGTGTCACCTAGGAAGGAGGCAAGGACACTGAATGCAAAGAAACACTTAAGGGTGTTGTCCACTCTGCCTTGCATAAGCCATTACTGAAGTTTTAAAAGCTAAGATTGTCTTGTCTCTTAAGTTAGTAATCAATCACCTGGGTGCTAGTGAGATGAGACTTGTCAGGCTTCCTTACCCTTTATGCCCTCCTGCCTGCTGAACTTCCTCCAGGACTAGCCGTCTTCTTTCCCTGTCTGGCTAGTGACAGGCTCTATAACTGCAGCAGGATAGTTTTTAGGTATACTGAATTAGATTCAAAGCAGGTTCTATTTTTTAACCAGTGGTCCAAATTAGAGATAGAAAGTGCTTCCTGGGAATGAGAGGGTCTCGTAAGGCATTTGTGCCTTATTTCTTTCATTTTGGAGAGCTGCATAAAAGAGATCCATGAGCAAGGAAAAATAAAACTTTCCTGTTGAAATAGTAAAGTGATGCACAAAAATATGGAAATGGTAATTCTTAATACTATTTGATGATTGGCTGTTACTAATTTCTTTCTTAGAAAAAAGATTAATAAACTTTCCAGGGAAAACAAGTAACCTTTGAAATGCCCACTGGGCTCAAAACCTGCTGACGTGTTCTGAACCCTTCCTGTTTCTGCTGACTTGATTTGCAGTACTTGCAAATGTTCCTGAGAGCATTTAAAAATGAGCTGAGTTAAAAGAAATTATTGTTTGTTGGAAGTAAAGATAACAGGACATTTGAATTTTCCTTCTGCTCCTGTTCGGATGTTTGCTTGAGGCTCAGGGAAGCTGTCCTGTTTTAACACTTACGCAATGAGACTTGTTACTAATGTTAAAAATAGAACCTTTATAGCTCTTTGTAAATGCTACAAGGGAGGGAGAGGAATTGAATAGTTAAATTTGAAATTTCATTAAGAATCTGAATCAAAGAATCCTTCAAAACACAGCTGGAATTAGACAAGTATACTGAGACCTTTGACTGCAGTGTTTTGTTTTTTTTTTTTTTCTCCTCAAATTGCTCAGCTAATTAAATAATACAGCATTGTGGGTTTGTAAGTTTTTTCTTTTTGTAGTTCTAGTAACTGTTACTTTGCTTAGTTTGTAAGTTTGCCTGTTACTGAGAACCTTCACATTGCCTTAAATTCTGCATACAAGGGACAGAAGCTTCTAGAAGCAGTTGGTGAACTTACCCATCTTAATAGCAAGTGTTTCAGGTCCTGATTTTACAGTATTGTTCTCTGATAGGACATGATGAAGAAAGAAGTTCAAGATCAAAAATGCTTCAAATACCCCAAGATCCAAGGACCTTGCTAATCTGAGCTCTTAAAATACTAGTGTCTTGGAAGGATGTAATCCTTTAAATAGCTGGGTCATAAACCTGAAAAAAGGAATTGCCAAACCATGACAAATACTTAGTTGTGAAAGTTAAAGTGCTTCAGAGTATACATACTTTCATCTGCTTATGATCTTCATTAAGCTATTGTGTTGCAGTATTCTATATTCCTCTCTTCCCTTCTGGTGTCACAAAGTCAACACCTGATTCATTTGAAAAGATGAGAAAATAGGGTTTATACTTGTGACTTGTGTGTTGCTGATGGATTGTACCCTAACAGGCAATTCAGATGCCTAGTAAAGGAAATGGCCCTTGATTTGTTTGCTGGCTCAGCAGGAAAATACCTTATGGCAGTGAAACGTAAATGTGACTAGGAAAGAACATGTCTGTGGGCAGCTTTCTGCAGAGCTGGCTGTTGTCAGAGGATCTTGACAGGACCTAATATAGCAGGGTTTTGCTGTCAGGAGTAGCTTCCATAACGCTGCTTCATGTGTCTAAGTAAAATGTGACATGTATTGGCTTCCGTGGTACTGGAAGACCTGAAGGCAGCTTTTCTTTGTGTGTGGTTTTTTTTTTTTTTTTTTTGATTTGGTGTGTCTCCATCCTGTTCTGTGTGTCCACCCCAGTCTCATCTGTCCCCCCCGCATAAATACAGCTTTAAGATAAAGTTTCTTTTTGTTGCCAACTGATGTCTTGTGTGTGCTAGTTAAAAAGAAACAAACCAAACCAAACGAAAAACCACAACATGTATCTAAAGACTCAGAGATTTCAAAGGTGGTGTTGTCCATATTAAAATGGTAGTTGTGTGCCTAAATTAATTTTCTCAGTTGGAATAAAACTAAATAAAAGAAATTTCTAGAGTCAAAATAATAAAGCAACCCCCCCCCCCAAAAAAAAATAAAGCATAGTTGCAGCCTGTAGGCATAACCTTCTGTCGTCTACTTCAGTGTGCCAGTATGCTTTCTCTTGGTTCACTAACATAACATGGCTTCACATGTTGATGGTAGTGTTCATTCCTTCACAAACTGTAAGTTATTTTTTTTCTTTTTGTTGGTTTGGTTTGGTTTGGTTTTGTGTGTGTGTGTTTTGATTTTGTTTTGTTTTTAATACAATCAGTGAATGTCCTATAAAGTTCATGGGAGCTGCGGACAGGTGCATGAGGCATGGGAAATATAACTTCTATACCAGAGGACGAGAACGAAGAAACTTGTATACTATTAAGACTCTTTATTACGTATTTATCTGCCTACTGTATAAATCTGAAGTGCAGCTTGGAGTTTTTTTGTAAGGACAGTGAGTTAGGGATATCTTATTTAAGCTTTACTTTATACAGGTCTAGTCTGGCAGAACTTGCCCATCACTGAGGAATACACACTGATGTGATAGGCTAGTTATTCTGGGCCCAGCATGCACAGGCTTAAGGAGCTTATATATCCTTTTGGGCAGTAACATCTATCAAGGTCGTTTTACCCTGACTGAACTCTAGCATTCAGGCTTGCCTGATTTAGTGGATACTCCTTCATCTCCTGATCTGGTGTAGAAAGAGAATGTTCTGCAAAAAGTGTATGTTTACATGTACTACTGTCCTTTGGGAAAAGGAGTAGTCTGTGTGATGAGGTATAAGCTGTCATACAGATACTGTTCCATATACTGTTCCATGTAGCTTTTACAAGCTTCTAAAATGCAGCAAAACTGCAGCATAAGGCAAAACCTGTTTAGGGTGCATTTTTCTTCTAAAACTTAAACAGTTATGAACGCTTTCATTTTATAAATGCTTCAAAGCTCTCATGGTAATCTCATTTCACGTATTCTTTTTCAAGGGTTTGGAATTTGCCTCTATCATTCCGTCCTTCTAAAAAAACTTGCTGTTTTTATTCTGTGGTGTTACTGAGTTCTCTACTGTGATGTACTTCAGGAAGTGTGTTAAGACCTTTTACTGTGATAAGGATTTGATAACTGGTTTAACAAGAGATCACGTATGGAAGACCTATAGCTGATCTACACAAACAGGATAATCAAATATGTATATACTGTCTCAGCAAGAAAATACTTTAAGGACATAGCAGGATAATTCGGGGACTAGATAATATTATTTCTTGACTGTCCTTTAGAGTATAGATAATAGTAAATGCAATTGACATGAAAATCTTCAGATTTTGTTTTTCCCTCTAAATGAATTTCACATTTAGATAAACACTTAAAGTAGTATCATGTGAATGTCTTGTTTGTTCAGTGACAGCTCAGTGTTGAGTTATGCATGCATGTTCCTGTCCTGGACCACTAGGAAGAGCCACAAGCTGCCTGACTTCCATGACTGGGAATAATTTTTTAAAACCCAGTTGTTTGATTGTCTAACATGTGTTGGTTTATGATAACTTTTTTATGTGTTTAGCACAAAATGATGTAGAGGCTTATAGTCCCTTAAGTCAGAAATGAGTGGATATATTTAGCATTTTGCTCACTGTTGAGTGAATAATGATTGAAATAATATATTTAAAATTTGTGGAATTCAAGTACTGCAGTAGCTGAACCCTCAGTTTGTCCCTCTTCTGAATGGTGATAAATGGTGAATCAAATCTCAGTCTTAATTATTAGGTAGCAACCGTAAGTCTTGTTACTGTAAGATACGATGAGTTACCTCAGTGGAACTAGAGGGGTGGATATAGGAACAACATAGGTTCAATTGTTCTTTGTTTCCTTGCTTTCCAGGTGACAAGGCTCTAGATGGTTACAGTAAGAAAAAATATGTCTGCAAACTACTTTTCATCTTTCTCCTGGGGCATGACATTGACTTTGGTCACATGGAGGCTGTAAACCTGCTCAGTTCTAATAGATACACAGAGAAACAAATTGTGAGTAACTTGGTCTCCATAAAAGATCAGCTGTTCTAATATCCTGCCTCAGCTGTATAGTCAGCAAATGATTTGGCTTCATTCCCTCTCACCCTTCCTTAAAGCCTTCATTTGGATCTAGCAGTGATTCTGAAATGTAAATGCCTTTGTGTGCACAGGGAATCTTGTAGTAATTGTGAAAGCTACAATGTGTACTCTGCTTAAAATTATTACTCTTGTTAAGAAACTGCCTTGGGCTTTGCATTAAGAGGTAAGCAGCCTTCTCTTCAAATCTTACTCAGTAAGGTTGAAATGCTGAAATAGATTGATGAAACACTTAAAAACTAATAAATTAGGGTAACACTAAACTTTTTTTTTTGTTTACCTCATTTGATCTCTTTAGCTTTTTGTCTGCTATCCATTTCAGCCCATGTGGTTAGTATTGAAGCAGAACTGTATGTCTCAAAAAATAACTTGTGGCCTTCATGGAAAACATAATTTGTCAGCTAAAGTATTTTCACTTTCTACTGAATCACAGGGCTATCTCTTCATCTCCGTGCTGGTGAACTCTAACAGTGAGCTGATTCGCTTAATAAACAACGCGATCAAGAATGATCTGGCCAGCCGCAACCCCACCTTCATGGGGCTTGCTCTGCACTGTATTGCTAATGTGGGTAGCCGGGAGATGGCGGAAGCTTTTGCTGGAGAAATTCCAAAAATACTTGTAGCTGGGTAGGTATGACTAATACAACAGCAGTAAACCTTAGCAGCAGCATTGCAGCAGCTTGCTGTATGCTTAGACCTATACAGCCCTGGGTTTGCAGTGTAAATACAGTTTCCAGTAACTCAGATACTTTGATATATTTGAGCATGGAGTTACTTCTATAAATGTACAACAGGGACATTAAGACTGTGTTGGTATCTTGAATAGGGTTTTACCAGCTTTGTTGTGATCCGTTTTTTGTTCTGTATAAATGTGTGTGGTGAACACCCTGAAATGTGTATGTTTTAATTTCCTTATCTCTCCTGTTGGAAAAAAGAAACAAATGAACCTAAATACATGTTTACACTACAGATTGTTCTAAACTGAATCTCTTATTTAAATGGTCCTGACTTCATAAATAATTTGAGAATGTTCTCTAGTGTGAGGTTTCTTGCTTCCTCTACTGGCCATGTAAACAGCAATTCCTGTAAATGGCAGATAGTCACCACCAGCTTTTTAACTTTACCTTCGTGTGCCTAGAAGTCTCTTAGAGATTTGGCAAATATCTGGAACTGTAGTTAAGTAAATCTAAAATGAAACTTGTGATTGATTGCAGGGCTAATTTATTTTGAAGTGTAAAATATCCAAGTGAAAACATTGCATTTAAACTCACTTATGGATATGAAATGTTCTGGAATATGCATGGATCTTGTTTTATAACTAATGACTTATGCAGCATATTATGTTTTTATATTAATATAAGAACTCAGTGCTCTAAATGTCAAGTACTGGAGCTTACAGGTGTTGGAAATGTGTTTGCTTGTGCCACACCATTTCTTACTCTGTGATGTGCACTGTCCGAGTTGGTGACAAGAAGAAGGATATAACTTGTTATATACTTGTGGCAAAAGTCTTAAGAAATCTGTTGGAACTCTTGAAGTAGTATCTTTATAATGTCACACTTGAACGCTGCTACTGTTTTGCAGAGCTGAAATGTAGTATGGGCCAGAAGGAGGAGTTAGCACCTGATGCTCAGTGAGTCTGGTCTGACAGAAGAAATAGGTGAATTACAGGATAGATTCTCCCTCTTCGCAGATATGTAATTCTGTGTGTAAGGGTGCAAGTTCAGAGATTTTATGTTCTAAGGCCCTGACAGGGTTGCTGCTGTCCTGTCCTGCCCTTGCCAGGTGCTGTTCTCTATGTAGCATAGGGAAGAAGACACTGTGATGATGGGTTTTGATCAGATTACCTTTAAAAGGTTATGAAAACTTCACTTAGAGTCATCAGTCGCAGAAAGAGCACAGCACCTTCAGTTCAGACTTGTTTGAACTTTGAGATGTGTTTATGTTCTGAGATGAGTTTTCAGGGCCTCATTTCTTCCGTATTTCTCAGAGAATATAAGTAAAATGTGTATGTGTACATGTCATGTCTAAGTGACCTGGGCATAATGAGCACTGTCCTTACATTTGTAACTTTAGTGTTGCTCTCTTAGCTTGCTTATAAGTTGGAGGGAGGGAGTAGGCAGGGAGAGGAGGAATAGATTTGTATTTTGGTTTGGTTGTTGGTTTGGGTTTTTTTCTATGTGAGGTTTTTTGTTGTGTGTGGTTGGTTGGTTGGTTGGTTTTTGTTTGGTGGTTGTTTTTTTTTAAACTAAGGTACAATTTCATTTTGTGGAAAATTGGTAAATTCATAAAGACTAAGTGGACTGAACCCCTGCTGTGGATGTAGAGGTTTCTGAACATTCAACCAAGATTGTACAGTATAAACTCTCAATGCTAATGCTCTGTAGCCATTGCTTGTACAACATACAAAATGCTTAATTGACTCCCTTTGTGAAAGGGAGTTCATTGAACTAGAATAGTAGCTCTTACAGAAGTCCATTTTTGTGCTAGCAGCATGGATGGCAAGGTGAACAGATTTGTGGGTTGCATGCTTGGTGGTAGCTGGCTGATTTGCTTGCTAGTTGTAGATACTGAAGCTGTTGAGTAGTTAATGATTTCTATCTGATATGCAGGACCTGTTAGGAGATCTAGGTTTTGTTGCATGCATGATGGAGTGTACCTTAACTGTTTGAGTCCATTTGGAAGAAGCTTGATCTTGTGGTTAGATGAACTTGTGTGCATATAATATATTGCATAAATAATAGATTCATAAATGACTTTCAAATCTGATAAAAAGATGTGAAACATCACTCTAAGTTGCAGAGAATCATTATAGGGGCTACTAGACAAGTAATGGTTGAAAACTTGGCTAGTTAAACTTACTGGACAAAATTAAGAACATCATAGTAAGAATTTAGTGATCTTCTGTCTCAGTTTCTGTTGAAAAGATTCTCTACCTGGCTAGAATGTAGTCAGTGCAAAGACTAGCATAATACTAGCCTACAAGTATTGCTGTGGTTTCATCACTGTCTTTTAAATCCACATTCATGTTGTGCAGAGATACTATGGACAGCGTAAAGCAGAGTGCTGCCTTATGCTTGCTGCGTTTGTATAGAACTTCTCCTGACCTTGTTCCCATGGGAGACTGGACGTCTAGAGTGGTACATCTCCTCAATGACCAGCACTTGGTAAATCAGCTTCCTTATGCTGCTTGGGCCTACTATATAGAGAATGATGTTACTTCTGCTGTGAAATACACTGTTAATTTATTTCTTCTTGAATCTTTCAAGCAAGTGGGTTGCTGTTTTCTTCAGGCTCAGGGAAGGAAATGGGAGCTGTTGTCCTTTTTTAGTTGCTGTGTATATTAATTTTTAGTAAAGTCTTTTAACTTTTTTTTTCTTGGAAGTGTAAGAATGATATACACAAGTCATTTTACTCTGTAAACAAATTAATCTTGTGCCTCACAATCCTAAATCATATTGCATAGATGTAACACTAACCTGTTGTTCTAGATTAGAGATTTATTTTGTTTTTCCCCACTGTTTAGTTACTTTATGAAGTAAGGCTGTTAAGACCTGTGCTTCATCAGTAATAAATGTGCCTTAGCCTGCAGTAATATATGATGTTTGTGTTATGAAAAACCATCTCTATTTGGATTGTCAGAATTTTCCTGGATTATCTGCTGCATCCTATTTCCTCTAATCATCCTTTGCTTGTGTAATAAAAGTTTGCATCCAGGCTTTATTTTAATGCAGCTCTGTTATTTTAGATGTACTATCCAAACATGAGACAAAGCTAATAGAAATATAACATTAAATGTTCTGCAAGCATGGCAGTTATGTTGAAAATCCTGTTGGATTTTGAAGATGTGTAATTAGTTTAATTGCTAGCCAGATAAAGGGCTTTTTAATGTGGGGCTTTGCTGTGGGTACTTACTTTGTTTTGTTGTATATTAAAAAATACTTGAAGTGAAAGGTGTTAATGGGCAGTATATTAAACTGTTACAAAATTGAAGGTATTACATTGTTGTTCGTTGTTTTTTTTTTTTTTTTCTAGGGTGTGGTTACTGCAGCTACAAGTTTGATCACCACTTTGGCACAGAAGAACCCAGAAGAGTTTAAAACTTCAGTCTCCTTGGCAGTATCTAGATTAAGCAGAGTGAGTCCAATGATAGCCCTGATAATACTTCACGGTTGCTTAATTTACTTGGCTTTCTAGGTCAGGTTAGTTTAGTGTACCATTAAAAGTGAAGATGATTCAGTTTCACTTCATACAGCTGGTTCAGCTAACCTTTTTAACACTTTTTGCTTACCAGGGCAGAAAACTGTATTAGCTTGCCCAAACTTTGTTGATAGAAAAGGAGGATAAAAAGTCCATGAAGGGGGGTACCCCAACTGAAACCTAGTCCAATCTTACGATATGTCACTACACATATAAACTGCTTCTGTGAAAACTACCTGTTCTTTGTTCTGCAGTATAAATATTACTAAAGGTGTTGGCCCTTCTGCTTTAGTTCACTTTGTCATGGTCTTGTGCTAGAATTCCAAGTTCACCAACAGCAGTCAACTATAACACTTTATTTAGGGCTTCTGCTGGCTGCATCTATGAATTGCTGGACCAAAGAAAATCAAGCTTCCAATTAAATGTTCTGGTATTACGAGATGGTCATCCCCATTCTTAAGAAAAGCAAGTATGCTTTCAGGAAGACACTTCTTAGACTGTATCTGTAAAACTGAATTTCTGTTGCTAGGGAACCCGATGGTTTAATCATAGTATGACAACTTGCGCCTAATTAAATGAATTTAACATTGCTATTGGGACAGATCTGTAGGCTTCTGTCAAAGGTAACCTAGTGTTCTTTAGGTTCTTTTCATGATTGAGCATTGCTTCAGTAGCTGATGTCCTGTCTGCTTATTTTACAGATTGTAACTTCTGCATCTACAGATCTTCAGGACTATACATACTACTTTGTTCCTGCTCCTTGGTTATCTGTGAAACTTCTGAGGCTGTTACAGTGCTACCCACCTCCAGGTAATGGAGTGGTCATAATGGTGGTCATCTGTCTTTATGCAGTACACTATCTCCAAGGAGCTGCTGTTCTAGAGTTACCATAACTTGGAGTGCAAGCACATTATGTTAAGACAAGGATACTGAAGTCTGTGCTCTTGAGTGTTTCAGATTGTTTAAATTCAACAACAGAATTCAAAAGGCCACATAACTTAGAGCAAAGTGTCAAACCAGCATGCATCTTACAAACCAGTTGCAACCGCCATTTTAAATATTCTTTAATATTATCAACTATGTTAAAGCGTTGAAATGTATTACAGTGCAGATCATGTTTGGCTTTTATTTTCAACTGTGGCTTAGAATTCTTTTGCCAACTGTTCATTGGTGGAGGGTGAACTGTTTTTAATGTATCAGAACACTTCAGTTTACTCAGATTTAGGAAGGTGGAAGGCCTAAGGTAGCAATTAGGGTGCTGAGCAAAATGAAGTTGTCCAACGGCTTGTTCTTCTCCAGAAGACCCTGCAGTACGTGGTCGTCTAACAGAATGCCTGGAAACTATTCTTAACAAAGCACAGGAGCCACCGAAGTCAAAAAAAGTACAACACTCAAATGCAAAGAATGCTGTGCTGTTTGAGGCAATAAGCTTAATTATACATCATGACAGGTGAGCTATGAGAACACTTTTGAGAGAGTTTTTTTAAGTGAAAAGCTGTGCCTTTGTCTTGAACATTAAATGGAATTTTACTGGGGGAGAAGGGAGGGAGAGCAGAAAGTGGAGTTGCTTGCTAGACTGGAACACAACCACAGCAGTGGAGTTGAGCAGTATTAATGGACAGTGTTGCTGACACCATATATTTTTATCACTTTGTTTCTTGCTGCCTTTTTTTTTTGTTTTTGTTTTGTTTTGTATTGACCCCACCACTCTGATCCAACAGAGATTATTTGCTCACAGTGTCTGATTTTTCATTTCACTAGCAGGGCATTCTAGCAGACACTTTGAGGCATTTTAAGAAATTTCCACTGCAGAAATCATATTCTGTATTTGGATGTTCTCAAACCTATTGCTTTTAACCCTTTCACTTTCTCTCCTGTTCTGTGCAGTGAGCCAAATCTACTAGTCCGTGCCTGTAACCAGCTAGGTCAATTCTTGCAGCACCGAGAAACTAATTTGCGTTACCTAGCACTGGAAAGCATGTGCACGCTTGCCAGCTCTGAATTCTCACATGAGGCTGTGAAAACACACATAGAAACAGTTATCAATGCATTGAAGGTAAATATTTAAGTGTGCAGTCTGTTTTGAGTGTTGTCTTCCCCCTCTCTCCTACTTCCTCCATATCCCCAATTAGTATAATAATACTTGTGGGCCAAATGAGTTATTCTCAGAAGTCTGCTCTAGGGTTTTATCCCTTAATCCTGCAAAATCTTGCTGTGCTGGTAATGACAGAGGTCAGCTTCAGTTTATTTCTGCAGCTTGCTGGTAAATCTAATACCTGTGGCTGTTGTAACACTTTGATATGTCCTGAAGCTGTAGACTGAAGTGGAATAAGTCTTTCAAAATGTGGAATTTCAAAGTGGAGAATGCTGGGAAGACTATTATATTACTGTCTTCCTGGTATCAGAAACTATTCCTTCACTGCAGTAGCTTCTGAAAAGAGGCAGAGCATATCAACTTCCGCTGCAGAATCAGGAAGTCAAGAAAACAGATGCATTCTCTGGTCATGTTTCTATAAATAAGCAAAAGTCAAAAGAGGAAAATTGATTTGTGTGTAAACTTATTTGCACACTTCAGTGTTCATGTGTTTTCTTCCAAGCACATTCTGTAGCATGTTATATTTGTCTGACTTCAAGAGTCAAAGCAATCTAGCTGAGCTTCTGTTGATACAAGGCAAGCACAACACTAAACATGCAGGTAGCTGGTTGCTCATTGGCTTGTTGACAGTTTGACAATTTTGGCCATTTATTAGTGCAGTTGTGGCAGGTGGTCCCAGTTATCCAATGCACAGTGGACCAAAAACTCATTCACCCTAGTTAGTGTTATAGTGGAGTCATCTGTACAAACTCCCCCATCCCTTCAGCACTTGCACAGATTTGAATATGTGTACTACAGAAACAAAACCTGATTATTTAAATTTTGTAATATTATTTAAAAGTGGGAAGCTGTCTGAGTCTCCAGTGACCTCTTTCTAGGTGACTGAAAGTGAGAATACCGTAAGAAACTCACAGCTTATGTGAAGGGTATATCCAAAGTTCATTCTGTGTCTGAAAGATTATGAAAATGCATTTGTCTTAAATTTAACTGTGGATTATAGTATGTTTCATTTCTTCAGTAAGATGCATGAGTTTTCCAAATAAAGATGGAATAATCTTGACTTGCTGTATGTCTTTTTCAGACTGAAAGAGATGTAAGTGTACGACAAAGAGCTGTAGATCTACTGTATGCAATGTGTGACCGAAGCAATGCCCAACAGATTGTGGCTGAAATGCTGAATTACTTGGAGACTGCTGATTATTCCATTAGAGAAGAAATTGTGAGATATTTATGTTTCCTTATTTTTTCATATCTGTCTTTGGCATCCCAAGTATCATTTATTGATTGGGATGCTGGAGAGCCTGTGATAGAGGTTCTTTTTCATGGTGGTTTAAAAAAAATAACCAAAACCGAACAAAACCCCAACCCCATAAGTTTGTAGTCAACAACAAAGTATATTCTTCATACAGGTCAAACTAATGTCATGGGGGAACCCTTGAAAACTAGGAATTTAAAAAAAACTAATCTTTGTTTCAGAGCATTGTATATAAAAGTAATCTTATCAGCACTTGAGTAAATATAATCTCTAGATCTGAGGGTTATGTGCTACTCTACTCAACTGCTTGATATCTTCAAATATTAGTATGATAAATACTTACTTGTAGATAGAACTTCATACTGTGTATGCTGTGAGAGCATTCTCTCAGTCTAATGATTCCCTAACACAATAAGCTATCATGCCTGTCTCAGCGGATTATATCTCCTTCCTTCCAGCAGGGGGGGAAAAAAAAAAAGCAAAACTTGAAATACTTAACAAACTTCCTAGAATGGTAGCCAAAACCTGTACTTATGGTAATACTTAGCATAGGTGCTAAAGTTTGTTTATTGTAGAAGTTAACATAGGATGCAGTGTTAGTTGATTTATCTGTTGGTTTACTGTCTTGCTGATGTTGGCAATCTGCCCTGACTTGGCAGGTAATGTGAATTTTGTTCTGTTAATTTACTACTGTTACGGAAATAGGTCTTTGTAAATACAGCTGATAAATTACGTGGAGGTTTCTTCCTATGCTGATTGTTTGCTTTAGAGTACAGCAATCTTAGTATGACCTGAAAGCCAGCTGTATTTTTGGTGACTGTTGTTTGTGTCTGCTAGCTTGTGTTTCCATTTTTTGTGGATTTTTTTGTTGGGGAAGGGGGGGAGGGGCAGGGAGGGAGGAGGGTTGGTGCTTTTCTAGAAAACAAAAGATGTTCAATAAATTGTTTAGATGCAACATGCTCAAATGCATTATAGGGAAAGCATTATGTACCTGGCAACTGGTATGTTCTAGCACAGAACCTCAATGTTTTCTTTCACCTTCGCTATGGGAGCAATTGAGGTGTATTATGGTGTATATGAAAGTTGATTTTGATACACAGCTTATAGTAGAAGCTAGTCCACCTTCTTTATTCTCTTACATATGCCCAGGTTTTGAAAGTTGCAATTCTAGCTGAGAAATATGCAGTGGATTATACCTGGTATGTGGATACAATCTTGAATCTGATTCGCATTGCTGGTGACTATGTCAGTGAAGAAGTGTGGTATCGAGTTATTCAGATTGTCATCAATAGGGATGATGTTCAAGGGTATGCAGCAAAGACTGTTTTTGAGGTGAGAACAACTATTTTCAATTCACTTTCAAAATGAGGTAGGAATTAAATAAACAGAGTGTGATCTAGGAGGTGTGTGTGCTTCCCTGTGCTGGGGAGGAGTAAAAATGTGATCCTGAATATTGCAACAAAGTACTGCTGAAGCATCCGTAAAACTAGCATCATTGATTTTTCAGACTGAGAGGCCACATTAAGTTGATGAGAAGCTTCTCTGGCTTAAGTGATATCAATACACCTAAGTACTGTTCTGGTCTTGGTGAGGGAGGGCAGGGTGGGTTATGCTGGAGTTTTTGCTATTTTGGTGGATGGCACTGAATGAAAGGCTTAGTAAGGAAATTGCTATACCTGGAAAATTACTGAAATGTAGTAAAAATAGAAGCATTTTATAGGGCAGCTTTTTATTTTTCTTTTTTTTATTTTTCTTTTGTGGGTTTTTCTTATTTTGCTGTTTTTTTTATGTTTTTTTTCTTTTTTTGTGTTGGTGTTTTTTTGTTGTTTTTTTTTTTGTGTGTGTGTGTGTTTTGGTTGTTTTGTTTTTTTTTTTCCCCTTTGCATTTTCTGCATGCAGGAGTCCAAAACACTCAAAATAACTAACTCGGTCTTTCTGGAAGCATATACTTATTCCTTCTGTTCAGGATCTGATAAAACTGGAATTTGAACTATTAAAGGAGAACACTTTCAAATGTCTGACCTTGTTGCTCTGACTTCATTTGGAGTCTTTATATGAGCTTTCCACTTGTATTTCCCTTCCTGAATGTTTAAGCTGACTTTCAGAACTCATTCTTGCTATGTGTTTCTTCAGACTCGATAAAGACAGTATTTTTATCTTGGACAAGTTCAGCACATTCTTGCAAGGTTTATATGAAGTATGTTAACGTCCTTCTGACATCTCTGAAGATGTGAAGGAAACAAGCAGCTGTATTTATCCTCAGAAGTCCACAATCTTGCTAGATGGGCTTAAGAGCCCATTACTTGAGTAAGTTATGTTAGAGAGTCTTTATAAAGTTGTGCCACCTATTGTGCTTTTCTCTTAAGTGCTCCATAGTGCCTAGACCTGTGGTCTGCTCTTACAGGTAAGTAGAGTAGGCAACTGGACATGGAAGTGACAGAAAAGATATTTTTTGATACATTACAGGTCAATGACTATTAATATGTTCTTACAGGCTCTTCAAGCTCCAGCATGCCATGAGAATCTTGTAAAAGTAGGTGGCTACATATTGGGAGAATTTGGAAATCTGATAGCAGGTGATCCAAGATCAAGGTAAAACACCTAAAATACTGACTTGAAGTAATAACACTTTTGGTAAACAATCTTGATGTCTATTTAATGTTCATAAAGGCTAGTTAATAAATGATTCAACTCTTGCTAGTAATGTATTAAGAATTATCATGTCTACATAAACTGAACAAATAATTTTTCTTCCCATCTTTTAAGTCCTCTCATCCAGTTCAACCTGCTACATTCCAAGTTTCATCTGTGTAGTGTTCCTACCCGAGCTCTGCTTCTGTCTACCTACATCAAGTTTGTGAACCTGTTTCCAGAAATCAAAACTACAATTCAAGATGTATTGCGCAGTGACAGTCAGCTGAAGAATGCTGATGTTGAGCTGCAGCAGAGAGCTGTTGAGTATTTAAGGCTCAGTACTATTGCCAGTACTGACATATTGGTAGGTATAAAGATTTTTATTTTTTTTTCCTATTCAGACCTCTGTAGCTATGTCTTCTGAAACAAGTAAACTTCAGTAAACCTCACCTGATTGTTCAGAAATCTTAACACAGGATGCTTCTAGTCTACTAATTCAGCTGCAGTCATCCATTAATTTACAGCTAAAATGAAAGTTGTTAGTGCTTTAGTAGGACAAATGACTGTTAAAGCACGCCAATCTTGAGTGTGGAAGCCAGTGAAAGCCAGCATGGTGCAGGGGCCTGCAGTCTGCAGATAGCAGACAGGTTCGTACTTTGTTTTGAGGACTTGATGGTGGGCAGGAAACTTATCTCTAGAAGTTCAGTAGTTTAACCCAATGCTCTTGGATCTGGGCAGAGCATGGCATGCTTAGTCTTGATAACTAGTAGAAGTGTAGGTCTGGCTAGATCCTTGGATTATCTGTGGTTTCAGTCCAGGTCTGCTTGACTTAAGAACTGTTAGGTCTGGTATAATCTAATTTTTTATTTTGTATTTTTTGTATAATAGCACTGTAACAGGGAAGTAATATGCTCCTGCTCTCATAAGCAACTGCTCTGGGAGGACTTCAGAAAGTTTTAATATTTATTTATGTATTAAAAACAAGTCTAATCTGTCATTGTAAATAAACTGCATAGGCCTTTTACGTGTGGGTAATTACTGCTGCTTTTGCCTCATGCAGCCTATAAGGGCGTATCTCTTCAAAGATGGAGAAGCTGGTTTGGCTTTTTCTTTAAGTTCAACTAACATGCTTTTTTCTGTGATAAGGCTACAGTGCTGGAAGAAATGCCTCCTTTTCCAGAGAGGGAATCTTCTATTTTGGCTAAACTCAAGAAGAAGAAAGGCCCAGGCACAGTTACTGACCTGGAAGAGATCAAAAAGGAGAGGAGCTCTGATATGAATGGAAGCGCTGAACCTGCTTCTGTCAATGCCAGTGCTGTTGTGAGTTTAAAAGCTGTTCTTTCATGAATTTAGACACTGTGCAAATAAGGAAAGAATGGTTTCCTTAAAGTGGCTTTTTTGGGGTTTAAAACTTCTCACCTCAAATTTAAGACTATAGGAGTTTGCTGTAAAGTAGCAGGGGAACATACAACTGCTTTTCCCCCCACTGCTTCCTTCTTTAATACAGTTTTCCTTTGAGAGTCTTCTCTAAATGGGGACAAACTGCAGCCAAAAAAAAAAATACCTTTTATGTTGTTACTTTGAAAAAATATTGCTGTAAGCTGAGAAATGGGAATTTCCTTGCTGATGAAATTGCAGATAGGGTGAGATGATAAAATTAACATATTTAAAAGGAGTAAGTTGAATTTCAAGCTATCAGCTTTGTCAAACATGGTAGATATCTTGCATCTTGTTTTGGGTTGTTTTTGCTAGAAGCAGACAACGCTTGACAATGCGGATGTCGTAAACCCAGTGTAGTGTTGTTAGTGTTTATTTGACAGTACTGTTTGAGTTCAGTTGTGGTAGGTAAGGCCAGTTTTGTTTCTTCTTAGTTAAAGTTTTTAATCTTATTGTCAATTAAAGCTGGTAGAGTGAGTTGTTCCCATAACATAATACTTGTTTTTCAAGACTAGCATAACTTGTAATTACATTTGAGATGTAGTAGCAGATAACCTAAGAGGAGGAAATACTGTAGCACACTCCCTGCCCAGTTTGTTAAAGCATAATCCTTTAGTCATTGCAGTATGTAAGAGTAGATGTTCGATGTGCAACATCTTTGAATAGACAGAAATACTTTTCCAGCAGGAAAGATGCCAAACTTCCTTTACATGCCAAATTGACTGAGGTGCCTGGCAGTTAAAATTGTGTTATGCTTTGAGCTTCATTTCGTGGGTTGCAGCCACTTAAGAGACTGTTGTTGCCTTCACCATTGGCTTTGGTGTGACCCATCTTAAGTGCCAAAAATATCTTCCAAATTGGAGCTCCAGTTGTTTGTTCTCAATAGTTCTTACCAATTGGCTTCTGATTTTTTTTTTTTGGATTTTTTTTTTTTTTCTGGGGAATTTTTTGTTATACTGCATGTTAAATTCAGTCTTTGGAGTATATAAGAACTTTGTGTTGACTGACAAAACCAAAATTTCAGACTCAATCCAAGTGCATCTCATGTCTCAACTTCAGCTCATCTTGTAGGCTCCAGATGTCTAATACATGGGTATATTTTTTTTAACAGTATGTGCTTTGTTCTTGCACAGAATTGATATGTTGTGTGGTCTCCGTTGCATGATTCCATGTCCTGGCTACGCAACTTTCTTTTTCTGTCTGAGGGGATAAAAAAACTTGAAGGTATTAAGCTCTCTACCTCTAGTGTTTGCAGCTTGAACTAGTTACAGGCTCGGCTTTTTTTGCTGGTGTCGTGGTTTAAACCCAGTCAGGTAATTCGTTCGCTCACTTCCCCCCCCTTTTCTTGCCCTCCCCCTGCTCTCGGAGGGACGGAGAGGAGAATCGAAAAGAATGCAACTCCCACGGGTTGAGATAAGAACAGTTTAGTAACTAAGGTATAACACAAATCACTACTGCTACCACCAGTGATAATAATGATAAAGGAAATAACAAGGGAAGAGAATACATCATCTCACCACCAGCCGACCGAGAACTCGCCCCCCCAGCCCGACCAAGCTCTGACCGATACCTCCTCCAACCCTGCAGTCTCCCAGCCCTTCCGGCTAACTCCCAGTTGCATCCTGGGCATGACGTGCTGTGGTATGGAATACCTCTTTGGTCAGTTTGGGTCAGGTGTCCTGTCTCTGCTTCCTCCTGGCTTCCCCTCCTCCCTGGCAGAGCATGAGGCTCACAAAGTCCTTGGCCAAACCAAAACATCCTTGTTATCAGCTCTGTTCCCGAGCTGAAAGTCAAAACACTGCACTGCACCAGCTACCAAGAAGGAGAAAAATGACTGCTACTGCTGAACCCAGGACAGCTGGTTAGGTTTTATGTTGTTTCTAAGGTTTGCCAAGCTTCAAAAACCCAGGTCTAAACTGACTGTCAGTTTCACAGGTGCTGTGATGTTTTCATTCAGGTTTGTGTAAAAGCCACTGCCTTTCTTGCTGGATTCTTCATGGAAGAATAGCAACACTTCCTGAATTTTATTCTCTACAGTCATTAATCTCCCTTGAAATTCAGAGGGGAGAAAAGAGGGGGTGAGAAAAATTGTTGTGTTTCTCCTGCAGAATCTGATTCTAGACAGATGAATATTTTTTTATTACTATTATTCAATGTTATTATTCAGTGGTTAGGTGGACATAACTCTTAAAAGTGAGGAAAAAAGGAAAATCCCATCTGTAAATTACCTTAAATTGAAATTGACCTTAAATTGAAATGCAAGGTGGTAACTGCATTCATGAAGCCTCCTACAACCATCGAAAGCTTAATTTGGGGTGGGGAGAGGCACTTTGCCATAGCTTAGTTGTCTGTGCAAGAGAGCTTTGTTTTAGTTTTTCCTCTAATGTTAACACCAAAGTGTATTGTCTTCCTTAGTCTACTCCTTCTCCATCTGCGGATCTGCTGGGTCTGGGTGCTGCCCCTCTCGCCAATTCAGCTCCCCCACCGTCCTCTAGTGGTAGCCTGCTGGTGGATGTATTTTCAGATTCAGCTTCTGCAGTTGCACCTCTTGCTCCTGGTTCTGATGACAACTTTGCGAGGTAATTAAGTCACCCTGTAAGGAACCTGAAGAAGAATCTAAAACAGGATTAGAGACAAAATACATGCAATAACTTTTGGTTTTGTTTCAGCTTATTGGATGCATTCCAGGGTGGTAGTTGTGCAGCAAGAGAGGTGTTCTTGAACTCTGTGGTGGTTGTGCTATCTTTATTGAATACCTTTGCTCATGAAAAAACTGAGTCTGTAGTAATCTGAGGATACTGGGCGCACAGTATTGTCTAGTTTTCATGCTGATTTATTTACTTTTTTTCTATGTAAAAGAAAGTTGCTTGTGCATTTCAGGATGTCTTGGACTGGGTGGTTAGCTGGCCTGATAAGAATATGTTTATTCTTATCTTATTTCCATAAAGTATTCTTGTGTCTTTTGTGTCTTGTGGAACAGCAAAATGGATTATATCCAGAGATAACTGGTTCTCAGAATTACAAGGTCTGTTTAAATTGGCTTGCTACTGTCTGACACACAGACAGCATGAAAAGGGGACAAAAACACAAGCCCTTTTTTAAAGAGGTTTTGATACAAGTATCTAATTACATTACTAAGTATAATGTAGGTTCAGTGTGTTAATATTAAAAGCCACCGTGGCTACACTCGAATTTTATTTGGCTAAAATTTCGGAAATAATACAAGATTGAAATATGTCTTTAAAAATCTTTTAAAATCTTTGAAAACCTTAGAGGCCAAAGAATTTCTGTTGTCCACGATCAGATTTTGAATGATGGCATGATAAAATTGCAATGAATCTTAATAGTAAAGGCATAATTAGTGCCTGGATCATTGAGACTTTCATGAAAAATCTATAATAGGCAATGTATTGTTGTAAGTTTGCAGGGATAAAGACTTGATCCTGAGTTTCTCTTGAAATAATCGTGGTATCTAAGACAAAGACTTTAAGGAGCTACAGAGGCTTGTTAAAGCTTTTTTTTTTTTTTTTTTTTTTTAAAGAGCTAAAAAAAAAAAAAAAAAAATCACCAGACCCCAAACCCAATGCTAGTAGCTTCATAAGGAAAAGTCCAAAGTTACCTAAAAAGAGTTTTCTCTTTCTGCAGAAGAAAGTATAGCATTGCCCAACCCCTTGGTCTGTCTGTAGATGTTGAAATGCTTCTCTAATGATACTGAGAAGTTGCCTTTTACAGTTTCCTGCCTCTTTTTAGTGCTGTTGTCACTTTTGTTTCTAATCTGTTACTTGGGTAAGTCATTCTCTGTGTGCCTGTATATTCTTGCCTACTCTTGTGTGTTTTTGAGAACTGATTGCGCAGCTGTAGTTAAAGTGCCATTAAGGTTGATGAGGCCTCTGCTTCAAAGCACACACTTTGTAGTAGCTAGTATACATATACATTTATGGATTTGAACTAATTTTTTTTTGCTGTCGCAATTAAATTCCTAAAAGGATTTGGTTCTTTAAGAGGTATAAATTAAGCTGTTGAACATTTACAGGTGTTTCTTGTCTTTGGGAAGAATTGCTGGTTCCTAGCACAATCAGGGAGGGGTGGGGTGGGGGAAAGAAGTTGGGGGAAACATTACCTAATGCCTAAAACCTTTCTAGGTGAACTGAGCTAGGGCAGCTAATAAATTTTTCGTGCATTAAGCTCAGCAGTGCCATTTTTGAGGAAGGAGGTAAAAGAAATAACTAAGCACTAAGCTGTCTTTACTAACTCCTGCTGTCTCTGTCGCTACTGCCTTTCTTCCTTTGTGCTGCCTGAACTAGCCCTGACCTGGCTTCATCTGAGGTAGTTTCTGAGGAACCAGCTGATACTGTGCATGATGCTGATGAGCTTTTTCACAAGTAAGCAATACTAAAACCTTGCAAGGCTGGGCAACTTCAAGAATATAGTTATAAAGCAAAACTATATTGTGCATTAACTTAATACCAGCAAAACTAGAGAAACATGTACTGTCAGACTTGTAACTGGAACACCTCTGTAGGTGCTGTGGATTTTATAGCAAGCTCATGAATACACTGCCTTTATGATTCAGTGCTGTCACACACTGCTCTAAAATAAGGCAGTGCCAGTTGTGTATTAAGTTTTGCAACTCTTCACAAAGAAAAACATAGAAGAGTAAATTGTCAAAAGTACTGATATTTGTGAGTATGTTTTAAGTGCCTTGTATGCAATGGCCTGATGTTTGCTGATCACCTCTTTCAAGTGAAGGGTGACAGAAAGGACAGAAACCACTGCAAAATGGGCTTCCTCTCAGAATGGAAAAAATGCAGCTCTCAGTTGACTTACATTATACAGAACTGGTGGAACGAGATTCTTTTTTCTTTCAGGTTTAAACAGTCAAAGCTTCAAACTTTTCAATTCAGCACCGACCTAATGAGTTTCGGAAGTTGTCAAGAATAAGAAAAACCCTAGTCTGTTGCCTGGTCCTTTAGATTCTGTGTGTGTGTGAATAGAGCATACTGTGGCTTCCTTCATAGTTTCTTAGATATCTTATCAAATAAGAATTTCAGTTCTTTTAGTGTCTTGCAAGCGGTGGTTTTGGTTGTAAAATTATCTTTTCTAACTCTGCAGTTTTCTGCAAAGGCCTCTCTCACAGACTGGTGTATTCTAGGTTAACCACAATCTTCATCCTCTATGTAAACCCTGAATTTTGTGGTTCTAAATATTGCTTAATATGGTTCAATTTAAAACAAGTTTTCCCTCTCTTCCCCTAGGTTTGTGTGTAAAAATAATGGAGTCTTATTTGAAAATCAGTTGCTACAGATTGGATTGAAATCTGAATTTCGACAGAACCTGGGTGAGATCTTTCAGGCCAACTGGTTAGCTGTCTTGCATTATCAACCCCAGTGCCAGCATGATATTGCAAATAGGACTTAACTTTTCAGCTACTGGAGAGGGAAATATGATCTCAGGCCTAGCCTGTTGTAGGATCTTCACTGTTTGCATGTCCCTGGCTCCTTTGTGGGGTTTTGGCTTGTTAAACTTTTTGGTTGTTTTGGAAGCTGAGGTGAAGTGGGAGTGATAAGTGGTGCTGCAAGCCCCAGCTCTTGCTGCCTTGTTGTAAGGTTGTGGTACAGCCAGGGTTAAAGAACTATTCTCCTCAATTTTTGTATCTTACAGTGTAGCTTGTTGTAATAGTATGATACACAGTATGTCTCATACATGTCTATCATAATATATTAATCCACAAAATATTAAAAATACTTAGGAAAGAGCTGGGAATCAAACAGAGGTCAGCACTAGGATTGCTTGCTTCTCCCCTTTTGCTTCGCTTTTGGTGCCATAAAAACTTCTTTATATAAAAAGTAATGTTCTCTGGCAACTGAAAGAATTCCTCTGATTATTTACCTGCCTGTATAACAGCTGCTGTGGGAGAGGTCTCATGGCTTCTTTTAATCTGTTACTGCATTTTTAACTGAATGTCATGGTAAGGTTAAACCATGTTAAACTATGCTTTGTCTTTAAAAGTTGTTTTGAAAAAAATATTGAAAGATAATGTATTAGGTGTTTAGAGCACAGGTAGTTCAACATGATTACATGTGACATACCAAAAATTTTGGTGTCTTTTATTCTTTCTAGGACGTATGTTCATATTCTATGGTAATAAGACATCAACACAGTTCTTGAATTTTACTCCAACAGTAATCTGCTCAGATGACCTACAGTCAAATATCCTTAAATATAAGACCATGTGTTTGTTCTTATTTGGGTTTTGTGTTTTATGCTGCGTGACATTGTAATGAAAGCTGCTGGATGAAGGCATGGTGTCCTTGAACATGGGGAAATGAGAAACTTACTGATAACTTCCTAAAATTTTTGAGCAGAGATGGAAGATTTTCTCCTTAAAGCTCTGGTTACAAACACAAATTTAACTGTTGAAATAAGGATAAGTATGTAATGTAACCCAGTAGCTTTCTCCGCTGTCATCAAGTGGCAGGAGTATAGATGTGGAGTCCTTTAAAATCCTGCATTAGCAGATAACTTCAGACTTAAGACAGAACATATGTACACAAAGATGATCATACTTTAAAATAAGCTCTCAATTTACAAGTCATCCTTAATGCTTGGTATTGCAGATTTAGATTTTCTGGGAGACTGTGTAATCAAGCTTGTTAGACACAAAGCATCACTGTAATGTTCACATCAAAATGAGATAGTCCGGTGTTTTTTCCTGTGAAGTCTGTGCCTTCATACCTTTTTGAAGTCATCTTTCTTTGAGAATATCCAAATAACTGAGAATTGTGGGGGTTACTGCTTCTAGGTGTGTCAGTATGAAAACAAAACAAACACACCAGAACTTTTTGCTACAAAAATTGAATATTCAGTTACATATAGAGAAACTAATTCCTCATATAGCTTATTGAGGATTTTGGGGGTTTTTCTTAAGTTATCAGTTCATTGCTGAGTTTCCTTAACCACTTCTTATGCCTGAATCTTCAGACAAAGCCTGTTGACCCCACAGTGGATGGAGGTGCACAGGTTCAACAGGTTGTGAACATCGAGTGTGTGTCAGACTTCATGGAAGCTCCAATCCTGAACATTCAATTCAGGTAAAACACAGGATTCTAATGCTAGTGAACTGAATTAGATGGAAGAGGTTAAATTGGTCCTGGTCCTCTGGCTGAAGTGTGGAATATGGCCACCTAAAGTTGTCTTGGGTAGATGATGTACTTGAAAAATTGATTTAACTAAGCTTTAAGCTACAAGGGAAATTAGGGAATCCATTTGGAACAATGAGGTTTAAAAAAAAAAAACAAGTAGCAATTGATAACATGTCTCTATGACTTCTCCTTCCGCTATCTGTATAAGACAGCAGTCTTCCTGTTTGCTTAAGAAATCTTGACAGGAATATATGCACTAACTTTTCCCTTCTGGAAACCAAGAACGTTTCCGCAAACAACTTGGACTGGAAATGCATGCAGCCAAAATTAGAATCTTATGTCCACTAAACATCAGTCTTTGGGAAATCCTGATTTCTGGACTACGTTCTGCTATTCTACTCTAAACTAGTTCTTACTGCTATGTTTTCACAGGGATATATTTTCAGTCCTTTAGATGCTACCTAGAAGGATAACAACCTATGCTGAGACAGAGATCCTTATTAGAAGTTCTGCCAATTCACTTTCACATGCCGTCTAAGCAGAGAATATTTATTCAGCAGTGGATTAAAACTGTATCTGAGAAATAACGTTATCTGTAGCTGATGGATTTTAATGATAAACAGTTGCACCTTCACCTTAGTGTTCATCCTCAATTGCTTGGTTCATTTAGGCTGAGAGACTGCTGGCACTGTGCTGCATACACCATGTTCTTTCTATTCCCAATTCAGGTATGGTGGAACATTTCAAAATCTTTCAGTAAAATTACCCATCACTCTGAATAAATTTTTCCAGCCGACAGAGATGTCATCTCAAGACTTTTTTCAGCGTTGGAAGCAACTGAGCAAGTAAGATACTGTCTGTACTTGGGTTTGGGGCTCTTGTGAGCCAAGGGGAAAAAAAGGGTATACTGGAACTGCAGCTCATACACTGCCCCATCCCATACGTAATCCTGTGAGTTATAAACTCTCCCATTAGTTGCTATTGAACAGTGCTCTGTGTAATACATGTATCATGTATTTATTTTGACTTGTCTTGCAGTCCAAAACAGGAAGTACAGAATATCTTTAAAGCAAAACACCCGATGGATGCAGAGATCACAAAAGCTAAGGTGGGTGGCAGAGTGGTATTTTCAGTTTGTAGTGTAAGGGTAGTGGTATAAGCAAATTTAGTTAATCTTGGTTTGTACAGCAGTTGGATTATCCTGTTCAAGTTTAAGTCCATGTTGTGTTAAAGACGCTTGGCAGTGCTAGGTTGAATGGACTGTTTCTTGGTGGGGCTTGAATTACATATATAGTTTGACTTGAAAGCTATTTAGGAAAACGCCAATTCATAAACAATTGGAAAATACTTCAAGCTTTAATTTGTACTACAATTAGTAGTTAGAAAATAAAACAAGTCACATCTTACAGAACTGGCTGCTTTAGTCAAAACAGAAGTGATTAAGATTGGAATGGCTTTATCAAAAAAAAGGAGAGACTTATGTTGAATTTAAATTATTTCTCAGTTTTTCCAAGAACCCTGTTTTGGGAACAGTTCATTATCAGGGTCACTTTGTCACTTCAAAAACTTGTAAAAGAAATGTTACTGGAAAATTCTTTAGTGTCTCAAACACTTCAAGTAAAAATTAGCCACCTACTTGTTTTGCTAGTTGGTGGTGGCTGTGCTTGGGTAGATTCGAAATTGGTGTCCCACTGTTCCATCCTCTAAATCTTCTGTGTTTCTTTCATAGATTATTGGCTTTGGATCAGCCCTACTTGAGGAGGTAGATCCAAATCCTGCAAATTTTGTGGGTGCTGGTATCATACACACAAAAACTACTCAGATTGGATGCTTGCTGCGCCTTGAACCCAACCTCCAGGCACAGGTATGTTTAAGTATCTACAGTTAAATACAAGGTCTTGTTTGAACTACATATCTGCATTATCTAGAACTCTAGTGTTTACTTAAATCACCATTGCAATAGCTAATGGGGACTGCAGACTCCAGCAAGAAATGAAATTATAGCAGCTTGTCCTGGCCCAGTTTGGTAACCTGCTTATTCATAGCAGTTCTCTTCCCTATTGGAAGAGATCACTGTGTTATTCCAGACTTATTTGTGGAGTCTTACCTTCTCTTGAAGGCTGGAAACATTTTATGTTTCTGTATTGTGCACCTTGGACAATTAAGTAGAATTCCCTTTGCCATTTTAAATTAATAGAAGAATGATTGTTAAAAGATTAAACATAAATGAATGCAATGTTAAGAATACTTTTCATCAAGCATTTTGGTAGAGGTTTTATTGAAGTTAACTGAGGGCTGAAAAGTTTTGGGTTGTAAGTCTTGGGTGATGAGTCTCCTGTTTTCTTGAGAAGTGGTGGTAGATTATTCAGGCTTTCCCTACGACATTTATTCCTCTTAAAGAACAATTTTGGATAGCATCTTGCTGTTAAAGCCTAAAAATGCTAGAACAGTGGTGCAGACCCTCTCAACAAGGGTTTGGAGATGTATTCCATCCTATGATTTGAGAAAGCAGTACTACTCAGTGGCTGGCTGCTTTTGAATGTTTTAACTTGAGGTCTTTTTCCTACCAAATCTAAAAAAACCACAGAAGATACAGCTGATAGCTTTTGCTAGTTGACTGTGCATTCATTTAATGCCAAACTGTGTTTAAAAACTAAATAATATTGCATGTTTTTTTCAGATGTACAGGCTCACACTACGAACAAGTAAAGAAGCTGTATCTCAGAGATTATGTGAATTGCTGTCAGAACAGTTTTAATATTAACCATGTCAGTTTGGTTTTCTTCCATTTATATCACTGTCATCATACTGCAAATAAATGTCTTGTACATCACTGTCTTGAGTACTGCACTGTTAACCATTATCAGCTCCCTGCCTTATTAGGACTTGACCCTTGTTTGAAATTAAGCCTATAAAATGTACAGTACAGGGAAGTGACTTTCCACATTAGAAATGGCTTTTAGTGCGTTACACAAAGATGTGTAGGCTCTCTTGTGCTCCTTTTTTCTTTGCAGAGGACCAGTTTTTAAACTCAGTAAAGGGAAATTTATTTAGGTGTAGTAACCAAGGATTTCAACTGGAAAGGGCTAGTAACGTTCTGCCTTAAGGAGCACCTGCTAAAGCACTCAGCTCTGAACTGAAAGAAACCAATGTAATGCTGCTCAGTAAAGTTAATTCGGATGTTAGAGTCAAACTTTATAAAGTGGAACATTGCCACAAGTCTTGTACTGGTTGGAAGGGCATGTACGTTTGAATCTGATTCAAGTGAACATTTATGTTGAGTGTCACCAATCTTTGTGTTTGAAAAAAGCCACAGGACCAGAGTCTTAAAGTATTAATCTTGTAATCCTTCACATCTAAATGTTTTCTGATCTCTGGAAAGTGGACTGAACACAAAAGCTATTCTTAATCCTGCTTGTCTCAGTGAGGTGAACCGCTCTGGTAGGTGGTGAATGGGTACACACTTATTCATGGTTAGTCAAAGTAAGGTTAAATATTCTCTTCTGTGGTTTTTGTTTCCCATCAGACTTAGCAAGTAGTAGTCCTAATGATATGATATAACTAACTCTACAGGGTCTGGTATTGTTGGGAAGAAGTGGGCCCCTGAAAGGCTGTGAGGCATGTGCTGTTTTAGATGAAAATGTAATTTTAAACAATGTTTTTCTCCAATATACAGTAATGATAAAACTCAAGAGATTGAATAACTGGTATTTGAATGGTTTCCTGTGTTTCAGTGGTGGTAAAAATACCCAGCATGGTGTAGAAGACTGAGAGCATGCTGAAGGCCCAAAATGGTCAGCTTGTATAGTGTTTTTTACAACCAAAGCCTTCGTAATGTGTTCCACATCAGCAAACTCTGCAGCCTCTCTGCAGAACTAATTGGGCACAACTTTGACTCAGCCCCAAAGGCTGCTCAAACTGAGCAGGCAAGGTAGCACAGCTAGAAACTGGGGGTGACTTGGCAGTGAGTGCTTCAAGTCGCAATGAATGAAGTCAGCTGCTGCTGACTACAGGAGACTTGAACCTCAGATCAAGATTTCCTCGTGGTTATTTCAGAGAAATTTGGGACTGATGTCTTAGCACATATAGCCAAGTATGTCCATGAAATTAAGAGTTAGAGTGGTAGCAGTGAGGCTCCTGTCATGCTGCTCAGTGCACAGCAGGCGACAGGATTCTGCTTGTTTGGGTGTGCCTTTTTTCTTCAGTGGTTTCAGCTGAATGATGGAAGTGGGTGATTACAGTTTGGTTTGGTTGAAGGCTAGTGGTGGTACTTGAGTGCAAGTGAAAAAAGAGGAGCAAAGGTTTGGATGTGGGGTGTGGATTTTGGGAGATATTTTGGGTTTTTTTTTCCAGAAGTTACTGGTAGCTGTGGCTGTTGTGACTAGAAATCTGGCTAGAGACCTGGTCTCTCTGCAGAAGTTCTCTTGAGGCACTTTTGTGGCCTTTCAGTGGCTAATCAAGACTCTTGGATTGCAAACATTCCTTGAAAATCTTCATGAGCAGTTCCTGCAGTAAGGTCAGGAAGTTGGCAAAATATCAGTGGACTATCTTATGTTCTGTCTTGTTGCTACCATATGTCTCTTCCTTAGTCTTGTTACCTTAACCATGCTGTTGACTGCTGCATTAAACATCTGATGTGCTGAACTAAAGGGAGTCGTGTCAAAGACAGGGGAGCAGCTTCTGTTTCATTTTTACCACATCCTGTTGTGTATCTGTCCCCCTGAAAACTGTATGCCCTCATTAAAGGATATCTTGAGACACTGCGCTACTTCAGTTCACTGTGCTTTGGTTCAAGCTGTGCTAAAATGTGCATTTAAAACATGGGAAGGAGGGGGGTAAGGGAAAGTGTATTTTTCAGTGGTGACTGTGTTAAGCTTACAGTTGTTCACACATTGTATTAAATGTCAGCTCAATGAAGCCATGAGCAGAAAAGTGAACAAATTAAAGACAAATACTTGATTTCTTTTTTTTTGTGAATGATGGTTAACTTACCAAAGTGATGTATCCTGTCAAGCAGACAAAGTAATTTCTGCAGTAAACAGTGTTATTGTTTTTAAGTACAGTATTTTCAGGCATTGACATATGAAAATAACTGAATAGCAAAACAGGTAGCATATGTTCATTCTTGACCTACACTCCAGTATGTAACATTAATGGTGATTGTCTTATTTGTATAAAACAAAGTTCTGTCAAATTAAGTGGAGAATTTTCATATAGAATACTATATATTAGACTATATTCATCAGAAGAACGTATTAAGATTAAATAAATGATTAGAACAGTAATCAGACTGGCCTTTTTTTTTGTCTGGGGGCATGGAAGTGTAAAGAATACTTGTATTGAATGGTTGTTGGGGAACAGCGATTGATACATAATGGTAAATTACTTTCTGCAAACTACTGGTGCGTTGTGTTCAGTTGAGTCTTACCCAGCCTACAGATCTCTGCCCCCCCAGGGAGGTTGTTTATGGTTTTTTGTGTGTGTAGGGTGTGAACAGCCCACAGCAAAACCAAACAACAAAGTAACCTTGATGTGAAATGATTTACAGTGTTTAACAACAGTAAGTATATTAAGAATAGAAGCTGTAATAAACTGGTGTAGCAGTGGGGTATGGTTGAGGCTAAGAAGCGCACACCTGTATTAGGCAGGACACAGGCGGGACTTGTAAAAAATGTTGATGCTGTAAAAGGTAATCTGAGGTGTTAAATAACCTCACTCAAGCTTTAAATGTATGCTGCAGATTTCCTAGTAGTTCTCCAAAACTTGCTAAAAGAAGAAAAACTACCTGGGTACTACGAGATTTTGTGCATTCATATAACTTCATCTTAACTGAATTGCAAACAAAGTAGTAAAGAGTACTAGCAGCAAGTAGAAACCGCTTCTGAGTGAACTACCTGTGTCCTATTAAGGCACATGGTCTTTGATTCCTTGGAGGGAAACGCCCTGCAGATCTCTGCTTTGTCCAAAATCCACTATGTCTGTTAATGATGTTTCTAAAAATGTCCCACCACACTAAGAGTACATTTAGAAACCTCAGAGTTACATTTTCATTAAAGTAGCACCTTGCCTTCTGATAGCAGCTGGGTAGGGATTACAAGCACAAGTGCTGTGTCCACTCAAAGGACAGGGAACATACCACCTCAGTGGTCTCCCAGTGATGAAGTGGGCCATTACACAGGCCCTCATTCAACTGTAGTGAACCTAGTAGACTATTTTCTATTAAAATAATTGGTCAAACAATGAGGTAAGTTTGCAAATTCAATTCCTTCTACTTTATTTGAAAGTCAAATTTCTGTTACTGCACTATGCATAGGCCAGTTTTTAGCCTCTGGTTAAATAGTGCCCTCAGCAAGGCCAAACTGTCCCTGCCATGGTATTCTCTCCCAATACCCACCCTGCCCATGCTTTTTTCCCTCCCCTTCACACCCCCTGAATCGCTTCCTGATAAGGAATAGTTTATCAGTTAAGTTCATTGATGCTCCACTGCAAGGCTGTCCTGTATAATCAATACAAGGGAACTCCAGCAGTGAGCAGTCACCGTGGAAGTAGTAAATCGTGATTGGTGTTTAAAACAAAAAAAAGAAAAAAACCCAACCAAAAACGGTGTCTGAAGCCATCTGGAGCTCTGGCTAGTGTATGCAACTGTCAAAGTCACAAACACAGCCACTAAATACAATTACTTCTCTCATGAGCCTTTTTCCAGGGTTATCTGGGTCTTGGCATGGCAGTTGAAGTTCCTTCTTAAGAAGCTGAAGTGGCCTACAGCAGCCACATGCCATGTTGACCACCATCTCCTCAACATTCAACCTGTTTGGAAGAGAACATCAGGATTTGTATGCAGCATTGTAGGCTTACAGCTTTTCAAGTATTTGAATGTGATTTTTCTCATGGTGGAATGTTTAGAGGAAAGAGCACAACCTTAAGAGTCTAAGGTTCTATCAACTACAAAACTAAAACACTGCAGCAACTGACTGGTCTTGGTTCTCATGATGAATGCTGTAAGAGTTCAGGTCTGCTGAGCTTCTGCCTTCCTGCCTGCCTTTTTGAGAATGAACTTCCAAAGGCTTTAGAGCTATTAGTCCTCAGACCTCACTGGATAACTCGTAGTGTTTGATTTCCCCACTCTTCTTTTGCACTTCAGAAAATCATGAAGTATATTGGAATTCTTTTAAGAGCTGTGCACTTGGAGCTTGTGAAAGGCCTCTGGAATATGATTTGTTAACAAAGATGCTAAATGGCAAAATATTTTTGTTAAAATCTCTGTAAAGGAGAGAAGTCTCCTTGGTTTCAATTAAAACAGTTTTTTAATCATAGCTTTCTTAGTGATTATGATGAACCTTTACTGCTAAAAATACTTCCTCCAGGCTCCCCAGCCCTCTTAAACTCTCAGGATCCAAAATCAGTCATTTGGTTTTCAAAATGCTGGGGAACACCTGAACTCACTTTGAAGGGGACAGCTCATAGCTTCAGCATAGATTTAAAGTAGTTACTGCAAAAGCAAAACCCTTCATTGCCTCCCTATTCTTGAACATAGTGTTTGCTTGGATTGTTAGGACTATTAGCTGTTTATTTCCCACATAACTGAGCTCTGTAGTAGTGCTGCAGTGGCTTTAGTTTCATTGAAACCTCAATTCTCTACCTGCAGAGTCTCCTGATGAGCAGGCAGAACTGCAGAGACTGTGACAACACATTTTAACTATAAAATATGCCTGGATTACACTGTTAGGACCACATTATGAGACAGTGGAAGTGACACTACATATTAAGGTGAGAAATTCCTTATTTTGCTGCCTTGGCTGCTTTTGAAAACAGCTAGTTGCAGCCTAACTGACCCTTTCTATCTTCTTAAAAGCAAAACAACAAAACCACCACCAACAAAGCAGCCCTCAAAACCTGCAGCACTTATGTCTGGGGTTTATAAAAATTACTAAGGAAGTGAGACAACATTCCTTGCCTAAATTGTAAATCCCTATTACTAAATGACTTTATTAGCATTGTTTGTAGTTAGCTGACATACTGCAACATTTAATTACTAGGTAGATGCCAACCATATTTTCCTCCCTGAATTATAAAGGAGTGGTAGTTAACAAATACCACTATTTACAGATGGCCAAATAACACAAGGGAACAACTTCAGTATCTCATAATCTCTCAACTTACTTTGTTGAGGATGGACATGATCCTTCACAGCGGCTTAAAGTGACATTTGTAGAACAGCCTTTGTAAGTTACTTTTTCTTCATACTTGATTTCTCTGCAGTGCTCTGTCAAATGTAAGAGAAAAATTATAGCAGAAATTTATCTTAGTGGTCATGAATGACATTTGCCTTCGTACTCAGTTTCATGGAAAACCATTCCTACTGCATGAGCCAATTAACAAGTTGCAAGTGAGTAACACAGCAAGAGAAGGTTTTAAACTAGGCACTGAAGATGCATGAGAGGATTGCCCTGGAGAACAAGCAAGAAAATGCAAGTCACTAGAATTGCAAATGAGAAAAAAAACGAAGAACACCCTATTAAGAGTAGAGTGCAAATTCAGACCAGCAGGAAAAAACAATTCACTGATGAGAAAACAAATATGCAAATA